CTAACTCCATATGCTAATATCTGTAATCTGAGCAACTACATTGAGAACAGCAATATAACACCCATGCTTAAATACCTTTCGTCTTGTTCTTTTAAATGTGTACCATTTCTACTGTCTTATCAATTATTATTATATGCTCTTGAAAATAAATTTTAAAATCAAGTGTAAAAAGAACAAGGAAATATTACGGTTTATTGAAGAGTTGATTGTTTGTTCAACCTGGTATTTCTATATCTGGTAATCTGAGCAATGCATTTCATGATAGCAATATGTAATATAACAACCATTGTTAATTTTTTTAATTTTTTTGTTTTGATATTCCTTACCATTTGTATTGTTTTACACTGCTTTGTTTATAACTTTGTTCTTGTTATTGTTTTTGATTTCTTTCTCTTGACAAATAAATAAATGTTATGATATAAATGTAATGAGAAACATGATCTGTGTGGAATTAAATTCATAATGCATATACATATTCTTAAAACTGTATTTGAGAAATCAGGTAGTGATGGTCCATATGCCCTATATGTTGTAATTTGTAATTAACTGTAATAAAATTTATGCTATGAAATTCATTAAAAAAAAACCTGACTGTCAAAGAACGTTCCAGAATTAACTATGGTAGGCCATGATTTAAAAAAAAATGCTCCCCCTTCACCAAAATGATTATGACTTAATCTTCAGAGCTTCTAAGTGTTTCATGCACTGTGCCAAATGGGCATAAATTTTCAAAAGGAATTCATTTTAGTGAAATGATTTGATTATTCCAAATTATCTAGGTGGTTCCAGCACAAGCAAGAGGACTATACTATGTGAGGGGCAGACCAGTAAGGAAGAGCAGAACTCCAACAAGAAGGATTTCACTTTTCTACTAGCTTTGAAAGTAGAGAACAGAGTCCGTGAGTAAAGGCAGATGGAGTACTGTGGAAAGGTAGCAATCGCCTTAACTCACATCCAGCAGGACCCAGAGGAATTGGGTCCCACAACTGAAGGAACTGAATTCTGCCTTCCACCCACCCAGTGAGCTGAAAACAGGCTCTTGCCTGATGCAACCTAAAAAGTACAGAATTTGCTCCAAACCCTTGCATTAAACACAGTGACACCCTGCAATACATGTCTGAATAGCAGAGGTGCGATGCAATGTATGTGTGTTGTTTTAGTCTTCGAGTTTGTGGTAATTTACTTCTACAATAAAGAAAAATAGGACTTGGTCTTTTCAGTAAGAGTTCTTGTAAAGTGTTTGTTGTGATTTAGTTTATTTATTTATTTATTTTTGTAAGAAAGGAGTTCTCATTTTGCATCTCAATGATCCTATGGCATTAAAAAAAAACAGGGTCTGGGGAGATGGCACAGTGGAATAAGTGCTTCCCTGGCAGACAAAAGGGCCTGAGTTCAATCTCTGATTCAAAAAAAAAAACACGTTAAACCTGGTCAGAGGATAGCAGAAACTGAAACTTGTGAAATATGTATTCCAGGGAAGCACAAGAAAGAGATGGTGGGTCTGAAGAGGAGCACGGGGAGAAACGATCTGAATAAGAGGTTGTGTTTGCCACTGAGAAGCAAATGAAAAATATAGGTACAAACAGGGGTGAATGGGGTGATTTGACCAGATCAATGGTGTGCAAAAAACAAGAAATCAACTGCAAAGAGGTATAAGACCAACAAATTGTCTCTGAACATGAAATATGTGTAGAACCATAGGCTAAGACAGATTAATCTCCTTTGTGTCATGCCAGCACCGCATCCGGGGCCACGCTAAGACTGTGACTGAGCCTGGGTGTGGTGGTATGAACCTGTAATCCCAGTGCTTGGGAGGCTGTAAACAAGAGGATCACTATGAGTCCAATTTGTGAAATGAGAACCTAGATCCTGTACTAAATACAGGAGAGAGAGAGAGAGAGAGAGAGAGAGAGAGAGAGGAAATCGTTGAAAAGGATGTAGGTTCACTTATGAAATTTCCATTTGGAAAGACCACTGAAAAGCAATTCATGCATTAATGCTTGCAGGCAATTATCGAGGAAGTGGTACTGCTAATAGCAAAAATGAAATCTAATGGTAAAAGTAAAGAACAACTCAGCAGTGACTGAGTGCTCACTGTGTGATACTTCAAATGTCTTCAAGTAACGCTTTCAACAACCACTGAATGGCTAATATCTACGATTTTTCTCTTTTCACTGGGAGTGAGACTGAGATAAAGATAGAGCAAGTAAATGCTCAGAATAAGAAGTCAAATAAATGAAAGAAATAGAATTTGAATCCAGATTCAGTATTTTGAGAGTATGTTCTCTGACCTGCTGCATAATACTTCCTTAAATATCAACTCTACTAAATACTAGCTTGGAGACTTATCAAGCATTAGATAATGTTTCATTAACATTTTTCAGATTTACAAACTAAAATTAAGAATATGTCATTTGCTTTTGTACCCGAGAGAGAAAGAAAAGAGCTCTTCAAAAGGACATTGAACTGGCCTCATGGTGGCTATTCTTTCTTTGAGGGGCACTACAGATGTATAAAAAATAAAAATAAAAATAAAAAAGAATATGTCATTTGCTCAAACTTTTTTACCTTAAAAATTAGGAATTTCAAGTCCGTTTCCCATTATAATTACCATGGGGATTAGTCTTTTGCTAAAAATACCCAAACTATTAGACAAATATGCAAAGCAACTCTTCCAAGTGCAGCATACCAGCCCATGCCATGATCCTCAAGAGGAGGAAAACACATGACAATGATGCATGAACAGGCATGATGTTTTATCAAAGATATGAAGACTGTAAGTAGTCAAATAGTATTGCAAGAAAAATACTGCATGTCAGAGAGGTGATAAATTTCTTCAAAGTACTAACCTGCAGACTTGATATATCTGAGGAAAGAAATTATGAACATTGAAAAAGATTAGTATTAATCTTGTGGTTGTTGTCATTGGCTCTGTTAATATGATATATTACATTTATTGATTTGCATATATTGAATCTCACTTGGTTGTGTTGTGTAATCTTCTTGATGGCTCAATGCATCACAGTTGATACTATCTCATGACGAATTTTTATATCTATGTTTGTTAGGGAGAGTGGCCTATAGTTCTTTTCTTGGTTGGGTCTTTCTCTGTTTTGGGTATTAGGATAGTATTTGCCTCTAAGAATGAGTTAGGACAAATCACTTCCCCTTCTCATTAGAGTTTGAGAAAAATTGGTGTTAAATCTCTAATTCTTTTCACAGAACTAACCTGTGAATTCTTCAGTACAAATTCTCTATGATGAATGTGATCACTGTGTATATTTAAATTGTATCAATATAAGAAGATTAATATTAACAATTCAGACCAGAAAAAGCAAACATTATACAGAAAGAAGGAAGAAGACAAAGATAGGGAGAAGGAGAAAAAGGATAAAAAGGAAAAAGAAGGGAAGGAGAAAAAGAGGAAGAAGAGAACATTTCAAGAGCATAGAACTAGAACAAATGTTCTAATGTAAATGCACTTGGGATTCTAGGAAGAGAAGAAAGAGAAAATAAAAAGAAGAAATAATGACTAAATATTTCCAAAAAATAATGCAACACAGCAAAGCAAATATACAATAAGCTGAAAGACCCCATAAACAATGAATACTAAAAAGCTAAAGTACTATCTAGCACTAGTAAGACAAACTGCTAAAAAAAAAAAAAGGTAGATAAAAATGGTAGCATATCTGTTGTTAGAAGCTTAGGAGCATTTATAGTGCATCAGTATCTTCCACATTGTGAAAAACACTGTCAACCCAGGTTTCAATACCCAGGGACATTGACTTTGAAACATGAAATGGAAAAAGCTTTAGTCACAATTAGAGACTTCATTGTTTATGAGAAATGTTAAAAATTCTTCAGTCAGGGAACTCAGATGTAAGCATAGAAGAATATCATAAATGATAAAAGAAAATAAGGTACATGTAAAATGCTTTCTTTCATAGGATTAATCACTTTAAAGATAATTATCTATTCAAAAATGGTGATATCGTGTTTTGGATTTAGAACACATGTAAAAGAATAGAGTACATTATAAAACACCTCAAAAGATTAATGGGAAGAACTCATGACATAAAAATTATACAGCATTATTTGAATATAAGTGGATATATATATCTATATATAGACATGTACACATCGATACCTTAAGAATGCATAAAAATCAGCACAAATAAAAATGGTAAATTATCAAATTGGCATCTTAACAAAGATGATACAGAAGTAGGCAGTAAGTATATAGAAAATTACTGGGTCTCATTGATTTAGAAAATAACAACAGTGCAGAGGACCATACTTCAGACCCATTCAAATAGCCAAATTTCAAAATGTTGAGGACCAAGAGTAACTAGCGCCCTCATGTGCTATCACTGGGAGTATATCCTGGCTCAGCCATTTTTTTTTTTTTCTATAATGAAGCATATACCTGCCCTGTGGTCAATAAATGTTACCCATCAGTTTTGATCCATTCAAAGTAAATATATCTACCCAAATTCTTGGACAAAAATGTCTGCAGCAGCTTCAGTCAAATTACAGGAATAGTAACTGGGATAGTTTAATGAGTTCTGTTATACCCAACAGCATAGATAAAACTCAAAAGCAGTATTGAATAAAAGAAGCCATACATGAAAGGGTACATATTGTGTGGTTCAATTCATATGGATTTGAAGACAAGACAAAATATTATAGTAGACATTGAAAACATTGCTGATTAAAAAGAAAACTGAATGATAAGGATCAAGAGGAAAATTTTGGATGTGACTGAAAAATCCTTAATTATACCTTAAATCAAGTGTTGGATAGGAGCTAAATACACTTTAAAATTCACATTGAATGTCACACTCATAATCTGTAAATTTCACTGTAAATATTCCCTCAATAAAAACACCCAAATCCATGCTAAGTTCAGCAGACTGTGATGGAAAAGCCTGAACAAGACATCAGTCACTATGGAGCACGGAAGGACAGAGGGACTGAACAGAACGACACACAGAAGGGGCTCTTTGTGTCAGAAGGGCATGTATACTCAGGGAAATAGAAAGTACTCTATGACAAAAATGATAAAGAGATTAGTGATTTTTGTTTAATATTGTATATATGTAATTACTGTTTATTATTAATGTTAATTTACTAAAAACATATATTTTCAGAAAATGTAAAAAAAAATACCAATTTGAACACACATTACGAACAGCATGACAATATGTCCTGGAAATACATAACCCATCCTGACTCCACAAGACCTGCTCACTCAAGGTCTCTTAGTTTTATGATTTAGTTTTAAGGAAGCATGTACTAGAAAGACATTTTTAAACCCCGGGCTACATTTCCTCCTCTATCATTAAATTCTAGTAGTAAAATTTTTGAGACTCATTAAATTCTTAACCAATACCACACAGTCGGCAATTAGCTGGGTTAGGCACCCTGGGACAACTCCGACTTTCAGTTAGAACTGAGGGTCTTGTTTATTTCATGGCAAAGCAAGCATGTCCTCCATAAGAGTCAGGCAAACAAATTAAGAGAATGATGCCAACTCTATGCCCAGATGCCCCTGGTCCCACCTTTCAGTTCTGCACATACCTGCACCCATTCTAAGTGCTTGGCTTCTACCAGTTTGTATCTGCAAATGCCCTGAGAGTGCTGCCAATGGACTACCAAGCCACTTGAATTATGTGTGCAGAAAGCTGCAGGTTCTTGGGAATTTTCCACCCATCCAGATGGCGCTCACCATACGATTCAGAGCCAATGGCTGGCTCCTGAGGGAGTGTGAAAGCTTAACTCCCTTGCCTTGAGTTGGAGAAACACAGACGTGTAATGCACTCTGCAGAATACCCCGCAGTCTTGGACTGCAGCTGGTACTCTACCAAGAGGCACATCCTGCCAGGTGCTTCTTCTAATCTTCCTTCTAGTTTCTCCTGGATGCGTTCTCTCGTAAATTACTCCCTCATGGATTCCTGCATCAGGATCTGTTTTCAGTGAACATAAACTAAGAAAGCAGTTCCTTTTCTATAGGAACTCTGACCCACTCAGTTCTGAGGTAGAAGGAAAGTAATCATGAAGGCTCATGGGTTCTGGCAGAACGAGCTGCACTGGGCATGAGCTGTTCACCACATGGATGATTGTGTTCATGTACCCTTAAGATTCCAGGTGGTATTTCAGGGAAACGCCCTGGCAGACTAAAGAGTGGCACCATCAGCCTGAAAGAACTGTCAGCAGCATCAGCGAGCAAGATCTAGAGAACACCCAAGAGCCATGAGCTTCTAAAATTTTTATCCAGCCTTGCCACCTGCCTCAGAATGTGCTAAACTAGAGCTTTACCACTTCCAAATATTTTAAAACTCAAACTATTCTACATCCTGGTTAATTTTAAAATTTCACACAGAAATCTAGTCATGACACAACCCCGGTCCCTTCTTGAATTTACATTTAAAGGTAGAGTAGAGAGAGGTTCATAGATAGAGTGCTGGGACAATAGTTTGTTGAATTTCTACATGTGCTAAACATTTTGCATTTAATGCCATTCAATCCCCTATAGTCCTCTTAGGTATCATTGTCTCTTCTTTATTTATTTCTCTTTTTCATTTGTGTATTTAGTACGGGATCTCACTTCATAGTGAGATTTGTGGTGATAGGTCGGATTTGTGGTGATCCTCCTGTTCTCAATCTACCGTGCACTAGGATTACAAGCATGTGCCACCACATTCAGACACTGTCACAGGCTCAGAACACTCAGGGGCAGGGCCAGCCCTGGCATGTGAGACTGCGTGTCTCTTCTTTAAAGATAATAAACAGGGGCTAGGGAGATGGCTCAGTGGAATAAGTGCTTTCCTGGCAAGAGCAAGGGCCTGAGTTCAATCCCCAATTCGGCAAAAAAAGAAAGAGAGAGAGAGAGAGAGAGAGAGAGAATGAAAGAGAGAAAGAAAGAAAGAAAGAAGATAAATAGAAAGAAAAGAAAGAAAATAAATTAAGTCACAGGGATAATAGGTAAATTGCTTGCGGTGTATTAGCAGACCTGAAATATGAACTCACTTGTGTTTGGAAATGAAGCTGTTTTTTACACCCAGGCAGTAATCAGAACTCTTCCTACAACAAGAGATTGAGACACAATGATTTGAAATCCTGAGACTCTTACATAATATTTCATTGAGAAGTGACAGTAAATAGCACAGTGTATAACCCAACCAACATGTGATTGTAGTAGTATCTTTAGTATTTTTGTTTTTGTTTTGTTTTGTTTTTTGACAGTACCAGGGATCGAACTCACAACCTTCTGCTTGCCAGGTAGGTGCTGAAGCCCCTGAGCTATTTCTCCAGCCCAGTAGTATCTTTAAGCATTATATCATTAGGAGACTGGAAGGCAGCAGATGCAGGTCCAACTCAACAAATCAGTAATCTCATAAGGAACCCAGAATCTTGTCACCTTTCTACTTTGCAATCTTGAGCTTATTTGGACAGTGCCCCTCTCAATTGTAAAATGGTAGCACAACTTTTAAGGTTAAGAGGAGAGATA